CCTCGCTCACCCTCCGGAGTGCCACCTGGGTTTCACAAGTAGCACCTTCCAAATCTCTCTGTCTTCAAGTTTGTGCATGTCTGTGTGGCATCCCTCCTCCTCCTTCACTCCCATAGTGGATCTTGTAAAGGGCTTCAGATCGGCCCCATTCATCTCCCTGGTGATAGCAGTGAATGTAGATAAATCTCTGACTGCCTGCTTGCTGCTGGAGTATGATTTTTATTTTGTCTTCGGTGTGTACCTAGGTCAAAAAGTGGGATGTATACTGACGTTGGGTGAGTGTGTGTCTGTGTCTGTCTCTGTGCCTTTCTCACTCCGTGTCTTTCTCTCTCACCCAAGCACACAAACATACATCTCCCTGCGTGTGTGTGTGTATTACATGCGTGCACACAAATATATCCACACACAGACGGATGCGTGCGTACACAGAGGTACACACGCATCTCCGTCACGCGCACCCCCACACTCACACATCTACTCTGCAATTATCTGAGGCATTGTGTGCTGCATATGCGTGTGTGTGTCCATACGCGCACTGTTCTGTGTGCGTATGTGCATACACCGGCGTCTCTCGCTACATCGATAAACATTCCCTCTCCTCCCAGCAGAGGCTGTATGCAGCTGTGATCCTGCCCTATAAGAGCGGTATTCCTCCCTTCCTTCCTTCGGCGTGCTATTCGGAGACCTTCACGCTCCCTTCTCGGAGCCTCTCCCGAGCTGCAGAATTGGCATCTTTCCCCGAGGTTGTCCGAATGGCAAATGGCATCGTCCGCAGCTCGCATTCTCGCAGCTTCTTGTGGCATTTCTCTCTCGATGTCGGCTACTCCCTTTTGTTTGTTGTTGACTGGGCTGGGTGTGGTTGGGGCTTTTTTTTTTTGAGTTAATTGTAAACGAACCTGAATGGCAAACACGCCAACAGCTTGCGGAAAAAAAAAAAAAAAGACGAAAAAAAAAAAAGAAAGCCCCGCACAAATGCCTTCTGCTGCGACAGATGCCCATGTTGCCCCTGGCATGGTGAACGGGCACAAGGGGTCTGTTGTTGAGGTTTTTTCTGTTGCTGTTTTTATTGTTCGCGTTTCCCTTTTCCCTTTATTTTGAAAGACTCCAAGATGCCGGCCTCGGCTTGGAAAGCGGTGTCATGGCGGAGACGACGGCCTTTGTCTCAGAGGGTGTGAAAGCATCCGTTGTGCTGGCTCCACTGCGGCAGAATGACGTTTAAAGAGGGGAAAAAGTGCTGAAAGTCCGAGTTGTGCGGCGCTGGCAGGGGAGCCCCCGGCCCCACAGCGGCGTGCGTCCGAGGAAGGGCTTGCAGCGGAGGAGCCCGGTCTGTAATCCTGGCACTCGCGCCTCCGGTCGCTGCCTGCCGTTTGCTCCTGGGGGTCTGGATAATCTCCCTTGGCTTTACCGCACTGTCTGGCCCGCGCACAGGGCCCCCGTAACATATACCCGCTGCCGCGATCGCAGGGAGCTGTGGCGTTGCCACTGAATGGATGGCACTGTGCCAACTCCGCTGCCATCCGCCCTTGCAGCTCTTTTCCTCCCTCCTCCCTCCCGCTCTCCCCTCCTCCTCCTCCTCCCGTCGACTTGACGTTAATTAACACACGGGTTAATTGATTTTAAAAGCTGAAGAATTACAGTTAACTTTTCCCACAGGGTACGGACGCCAGCCGCTTGGCACAGTTCTGCCGCTCGCGCCGGGGCAGGGGGGCAGGGAAGAGGCCGGAGCAAAACCAGCGGCTGGGGAGAAAAAAGAAAGGCGAGCTCTGTCGAAGTTTAAGCGGCGAAGCCGTCCCCCCGAAAGGCTTTTCGCGGCGCGCAAATGACCAGCCTCCGCGGGGTCTCGCACCGCAGGGCTGCCCACCCCGAGCACCCCGCCACCGCTGAGGTGGGGCGTCGGGGGACCGCTGCCTGTCACAGGCTCGTCTTGTCTTCCAGGGCTCTTTTTCGTTTGCTTAATTGGCTCAGATGCATCGCTTGGGGTGAAGCCTCTCAACCAGGGGAAAGTTAGTTCGTTGTAATTACGAGGGAAATAAGCCATGTGAGGGCTTTGTTTTTTCGCTTTTGCTCTCCCTCGCCCCAATCTCTGCCGCGAGCGCGGGTGAGGGACGGCGCGGCTGGGAGGAGGCGCGGCAGTGCTGGGAACTTGCTGCTTTCACCTTCTCGTGCCTTCATTTTATTTCATTTTGTTTTTTAAAAGCATGAAGCAAGTGAAGCGACGAGAGGAATCCATTATGCAAATCAGGTCACATTTGCATAATGTCTCATGACTGGAATATGCAAATGGGTTGTATAATTTATGAGTGCCAGTGTCTGTCTAAAAGTGTTTCCCAGAATTTATAAAAAGTGAGACGCGGGGAGGGCAGCTGGGCTGGCTGCCCTGCCAGGAGGGCTCTGCGCTTTCCTTTCAAAGTCTTGCTTGAGATCAGCAGCTCAAATGCTCATTAATGAGAAACAAGCCCCCCTTCCACCCTGTCCCCCTCGGTTTATTTTCCGTTTCTCCCTCTACCAAGCCCCCACCTGCTCCCTTCGAACTTCTCCAGGAGGCGTTTGGCGTTTGGCAGCCGGGACCGCAATGGCCGGGCAGTCCCGTGCAGGCTGGCTCAGCCTGGGTCTCGCTCGGGATGTCTCTGGGGCTCTTCCCAGCAGGAGAGACCCTGCCTTTCAGGCAAGCGAGCTCCGTGGGCACAGTGTGCGTCGGGGAGCTGCCTCGAGACGCTTGCCTCCGACCGGCATGGTGGGAGTTCCTGGG